GAATAGTTTTTGGCCACCTTAAACCATTTATCCCCGTTGCCCCGGTTCACTGTCAGGTATCGTTGAGAAGAGTTCCAGCGATTTCAACAGCAGCAGCTTGCCCTGTGACTGTATATTTAAAATGCAATCAGATGCGTTTCGATATTCCTTTTGCCAAGGTCAAACAGCAGTCGCAGGGACTCGATCCTCCGGCCGGGCCAGTTTGTCCGGTATCAGTTTTTCCTGCTGGGGTGCCTCTGGATCATCGTCTTGGATCTCGCCTTGGATCGAATTCCTCTGCTGTGTTGTTTCTTCGCCTTCGCCAAAACATTTGAACTGTCAAATGGCATTAAATAAGTGTGTAGAGTGACCCCCCTTGGTCTTTCTTTTTCTGTTGAAGGCGAACAGCTTCGCAGCATTTTAGATCCTCAGTCCGAGTGTAACGTTCTCCGTGTTACGCTAAACTGACGACTTAAGCGCTACCTTTCAAAGAAGAACCGTCAACTCGTTCTTAATTACCCGGCAAGAAACTTCCCTTCTCAGGGCAGGTCACTCAGATGTTGACACAAACGAACTTACTTATTTTGACCCAAACGTCTAAAGCCAACCAATCAGATTAGGATACTCAAATTTAAAAACACCAATTCAAACCGCGAAAATGAAATAATTCTTTAAAATCAACCAAGGAGATATATGCAATAGTTATTTAAACCCAAACCAATCCAACAAATATAAACATATACAAATAACGTGACGCAAAAGATGTGTGGAGTAACTAATCTAAACTAGAAGTAATTTTTATTTTATTCAATTTAATTAAACGAAACCCGAATATACTTAACTTAAATTTATCGAGCTAGCGATTTATTAATTAAAATTCAAGGGAAATCGAAATTTATTGAATTAAGGCAAACCTAACAGTTTCCTACTGTGACGTCACGTTTCTAGTTCATGTATGTTAGCATATCCAATCAAGATCAAATAAAACTAATGTGAGCAGTTTTCGGACAGATCTGACCTGGTTCCTTCAGCGTCCGGTCCCTCGTCGGATGTCCCGCGACGTTCTAGTACGCGAACTCAAACACGATCAGTTGGTCACCAAAAGCTTACGCACCAAGATGACTCGCGCGTGGGCAAGTAAGGGGTATAGCAGGCGTCCCCAAGCGTAGTGGAGTGATGAGCTGTAGTAGCGGTACGCAGTTTACGCCGCACGACTTGGCGAAACGAGTCGTTCCAACAACAGTGGTAGTGCGTCGTAGCCGAACGGTTGTGCTACGAGAAAATGCGCAGTAGCAGTAACGGGTGGGCGTAATGGCCGACTAACAGCCAGCATAAGACGGTGGATGTCCTAGCTGCTTGAAACAGCCCGCTCCAGTTTCGACGATATTTGCCAATTCTAGCTCTAGCCAATACAAGCCGATACAAGCTGATACAAGCCGCCCGCGTTGACTGGGCAAGGAGGGCCTGTTAACGCGGAAATCTCACATAATTTGCTCACCAATTTACTACTAACTAAAGGGTGATACGGTCAAAATTTGGTCAAGGGAAAACGCGTGTAAATCGGTGAAATCGTTTATTTAAAAAATCAAATTAAATTTCTTTTTCAAGTTCAATTAGTATAAAATTCAGGAAAAATATTCAGTTAGGCTTCCGCTTTTCAAAATCCGAATTGCCGGGCCTTACGCTTGACCCCTGCCATCAGATTTTGTACAGCCACCTTGTCCACCTTCTTCGCCGCAGAAAGCCAGTTTGCCTTGAACTGCTGCTCGCCCTTAGCAGTTTTTTTGGTCTTCTTTAGGTTCCGCTTGACAATAGCCCAGTATTTCTCAATTGGGCGGAGCTCTGGCGTGTTGGGAGGGTTCTTGTCCTTGGGAACCACCTGCACGTTGTTGGCGGCGTACCACTTTTTACCGTAATGGCAAGATGCCAAATCCGGCCAAAACAGTACGGAACAACCGTGTTTCTTCAGGAAAGGCAGCAGACGTTTATTCAAACACTCTTTCACGTAAATTTCTTGGTTGACAGTCCCGGAAGCTATGAAAATGCTGCTTTTCAAGCCACAGGTACAGATGGCTTGCCAAACCAGATATTTCTTTGCGAACTTTGACAGTTTCATGTGCTTGAAAACATCTGCTACCTTTCCCCTTCCTTTTGCCGTATAAAACTCCTGTCCCGGAAGCTGCTTGTAGTCGGCTTTGACGTAGGTTTCGTCGTCCATTACCACGCAGTCAAACTTCGTCAGCATCGTCGTGTACAGCCTCCGGGATCGCGCTTTGGCCGTCGTATTTTGTTTATCATCGCGATTTGGAGTCACTACCTTCTTGTAAGTCGATAGTCCGGCTCGTTTTTTGGCTCGATGCACGATTGTAGACGATACACCCAGCTTATTTGCGGCATCTCGGAGAGAGAGGTTAGGGTTTCGCTTGAAACTACCGGCAACTCTCTTTGTCGTCTCAGCGGCTTCCGGTTTTCGATTTCCCCCCGATCCAGACTTCCTGGCTGTCGACAAACGTTCCCCAAACACTTTAATTACATTTGTAACGGTTGATTTGGCAACTTTTAGCGATTTTGCCAACTTTGCGTGCGAGTAGCTCGGATTTTCGCGATGCGCGAGCAAAATTTTGATACGCTGCTCTTCTTGCTTGGACGGCATTTTGACAACTGAAGAGTGAATTCCAAAATCAAAATAGGAGCAACATTCTACACACACACACCTTCAAAATGAGGGGTGTTCAGGTTTTTTAAATGCAAAATTGAAAGAAATACGTCAAGTTGATATTGACCAAATTTTGACCGTATCACCCTTTAATTAGGCTTACCTGAATTTCAAATTTCACCAACTTCACAATATATATTCAATATCAATTTCTATTTTGATCAAAATATGATCCGGCACTCGACAAATTCAAAACTGTTAAAAATTACTTAAATGGATTTAAATCATCAAAATTCACAAACCGCCCGAATTTACTTCGAGTTTAGATGTTGCGCAGTAAATTTCAATCTATTGTCTTCAGCTAAGTTATCAACTTCTGATAATTTCAAAACACTCCACTCAAATGATTCGATAGACGCGGAGTAGCTTGGGTTGTGCCTAAAAACTACTGCGTAATTTCTCCCTATTGGCAGATTCGAGAGAATAAACGAAGTTGTACATGGTGTTAAGCACAATAGTCAAATCTATTGAATTCTCTACGACGCAATGGTTTTAAATTTTAAAAATGGTATCTTAACTGCCGTGTCAAAAACTAGGTGGCGTCTACAAAAGGTGGGTGTCTAAGATAGCATACAGACTGACAGCATGCTCTGAAAATTCATGGACATCCAAAGCTTTCATGAAGCTTATCTTTACTTGTATAGGTAGTACGAACGAACGGATAAACATTAATAGAAAAATAACAGGGTTCAAAACAACGTTACACGAGTCTACAAATAAATTTGCAATTGGTCCTTCTTTCAAGATTTAGTGAAGCGGTCGAGTGAAAAGGCGCTTGACTTTGATAGTTTCGTCTATCATGAAACACATCAACATAGGTTTAATGACGTATATGACGGAAAATGAAAATGTATATTACACGTAACATGTTGAATTTATATTAATCTAAATTAAAAGTAACGAAAACGCGACACAACGCATATTGAACAAATTGAAAGAGCGGTGATAGAGTGTCGGTGGAAGCGATTGAAAGCCATAATGAGGTTTCGTTTCAGCTCGATAATCGACGTTACATTCATTGAAAGTGATGAGCAAAGGAACGACGAGAAAATCCACAGCCTGCCTTTCGTTCTAACGTGATGCGTTGAACACATTGTATGAAAGAACCAAAAATTCGAGTTCATTCTAGAGCTTTAAAAATGTAGAGTTCTGATTACAATTAAATATATTGTTATTTGTATCGAAAATTATAGAAGCATCAGTAATCGCTTTTCATCAGTAATTGCTTTTCTCATACTTTTTCCTTACCGGGTGGTTTATTGATCATCTCCGGCATCTGGATTTCTTCTCATTTTTCTTTACTCAACACAACCGTTCGCAGAGGAAATACCATTTTTTCATTTCTGACTGTTCATCGCTGCGCGAGTTTTCACTCCATTTTTGACGCAACGGAATGGCTTTGTGAATGGCACTTCTATGAGCTGTAGCAGCCGCCAGCAAATGTAGCCAACCGTGTTACAATCCATAATCCATCAATAAAACTGATGGATAGAGAATTTGCATATACCGTGCAACCCCGCTAATCTGAACGACGCTTCATTCATATTAACGGGGTTCTTTTTTTAATTTGAACTTCTAGCAATTCTATGAGAATCGTGCTTGCCGTTTTATTTTTACTCAGCGATCTGTTTCACAATGTTCTATTTCGCTTTACTCCGTTCCATGAGCTAATTGTCGTTTCAACCATTTTTAGTTTGCACGACGTGCAAATTAGCGGGGTTCAAATTGAAAAGCGTTTAGAGTAAAAAACGGTCAAATTTCCGGGGGTTCACGGTAATCCAAAATATAGCATACGATAGCCTTGCAGAATTTGTTTCACAGTAGTCGTAATTTCGTCTGCTGTCTTCACTAATTTTCGAGCAAATGTGTCGAAACTCGACAAGCTTGTCGGTCATAATCTAGAGATTTCCAACTAAATCCAATCGATAATGCATTTCGATAGCTACACTGAGCTAGGATTTTTATTACCCCCTATATCCCGACGATCATCATCGAGATTAATTCTATCCATTTCACAATGATTTTCAATTTTTCATCCCCGAGTCGGTCGCTTTTGCCACCATCACCAGTGCAGTTGGTTGGTAATCGGTGAAAGGATTTCAAGTGCTTTTCTCGAGTGTGCTTCAATCCGTTCGTTCATTCCTCCTATCCGGTGACTTATTCGCGGTTGAAGATTGATGACGGCCACAAAGTAGTTTTTGCCGACTTGAAAGCTTTTGGCGATAAATTTGTCACAACCCCCCGCCCTCTACCCGCACCTGCCAACCCACGGAATAATATGTTTGTTTGCTGCGGCGGGGCTTACCTGCCGAATGTCGTCATCCTCGTCGGCGAGGTCGGTTTTGTTGCCAACCACCACAATCGGAACGGCAGTCGTTGATTTGATCTCGTGAATCTGCTCCCGAATTGCTTTGACCTCCTCGAAGGTGACACTGTCGGTGATGTCGTACACTAGGATGAAGGCGTCCGCCGATGAGATCGATAGGGCCCGCATCGCCGGGAACTGGAAAAGAGAAAGGGTTGAAATTAGTGAATTAATGCATGGCATATCATATAGCATCATTTGCTATGCTGCAACGACCCCATACCCTTTTAAGCTGGACGTTGTTTTTTCCCTGACCGTTCATAGAGAGGAAAACATCCACTCGGCCGGCGTCAAGCAAAGCGGAAAGGTAAATATTTGACTACACCGCTACATATTGCTACCACGAGAGCGAAACATAACAACTAGGTATACAAGCGACTGAGCATGACGATCGTTCGCTCAAGTTGTATTATCAGGTGCTGATGCTCGCTTGAATGTTGTTGCTGCCGTGCCACCAATAATGATTGTGTTCCTACCACCATGCTGACTTAATCCGAAATGCTATGCAACAATTTCGACGCAACAGCAGGATCAGCGAATCCGGACGACCACCACACGTTTGTTGAGCAAGGTTATGATAACAATGCATATGAGATTTGGTTGCTGCAGCTGGGTCACTGCCGATGCGACAGGCAAGCGAACATCAACAACGTATTCGAGCGGTATGAGTTGGGAATTAGCTGAATATTAAGGATAATTCCTGGAATGCTGTGGTCTGCATGTTCCTCTGCCGACTCAATATCCGACTGATACGTTCGGAGGGAAATATGAATCCGCCGGAAAGCTCCAGTGAAGTACCATCCATCATTAACAGTTCAGAGCTGTATAGTCGCAGTGGAATTAGATGGATTATTTTGGATGGGTACGACAAGAAAACGGTAAGACAACTTTCAATCAACTGGAACTTGTCGTTGGCGATGGGAAAATACAGAAGTTCGAATGTAGGAATTTCCTGTTAGTAGCTCTGGCTGGATTTGCTATCGGTGCCATAAACATACTTTTGTGAGTTGGTGTCGATGAATTTTGCATCTGTCGGTGTTTGATTTTCTAATTTCGCTCACAGCACATCGGAATGGGAAGCATTTCTATTTTGCAATGTACGTGATATGTAGCATGTGGAATGATTGTCAATAATGATCTAGTATTTGAAATTAATCTAGGTTGCATTGGAAGGTTAGTTGATGTTTGAGAAAATGTTTCTATCATAAAGGTCCGTTTAGACCATCTGATTGCTTGGTCTGATTTTGACCGCCGCCATAATGAAAAATCTGCTCGATTTTACTTTTGACACACTTTGTCGAACCCCTCTGTTTGCTGGTGTTCACACTGCTTGCACATGTCGAAAGCATTGTCAATTTAGCTTCAAAACAAAATAGTATCCGGAATCAAAAGTAGATGCTTCGATAATGAATAACCGGACAATTTCGGAGAACTTTGAGATTTGGGCGTAATTAACCACTTCATTCGAGCAGTTACAATGACGTTTACTACCACTCGAACTTTAAAATTAAACATTATTTTGATATTTTTTCTTCTAGAACCACGAGAAAAGTAGCCATCATTTTGTGCGTTTCATAAAAAAAAAATATAAATAAGTTGGTTCAGTTTTGTGGAATCGCTGGTAGAAAGTCACGCAAAAACTGCTTGACAAAGTGGTCAATTGCTTTTGTAAACAAACACGTCAATCGCTGATTGCTCGCGAATAAAAGCTCAATCTCGCAAACAAACTAAACCAAATGATAGTGGAGTAATTCTTCTATCTGTTTGTGTTGTTAGTTTTCGAAATTGAGTGTTTGTTTACAAAAACAATTACGCCCTAATCTCAAAGTTCTCCAGAATTACCCTAGCTTTGGCAGGCGTATTTGCTTTTATTATTTTAAATAAAATGAGAAGGAGAAGGTGAACTTTGTGGAGTAGGAAATGGATGCTCAGGAGGACCACCGGCAGGGATCTGGCTCATCTTGCCCTTCAAGAACTGTGATATTAATACGAAAAAGGATTTCAAGTCTTTGCCAGGATGTCGATACCAACTTTCGACAAGCAAGTGGGAAAAGTTCTCTATAGATCTACATGATTCCTTGAGTTTTGAAAATTTCTGTTAAGATCTCAATTCTGCATATTTCTCTGAAGGCCTTCGGACGTCCCTGAAGTTTTATTTCTGTTCTCTGGTAAAATATCTTTGAAGATCAACAAACTTTCCTGAAGATCTGCAAATTTCTCGTTAGTTCTTCAGATTTCTTAGAAGTCCTGTGTATACAAATTTCTCTAAAAATTTACAAAGTTCCTGAACCCATGCAGATTTAAGATCCTTAAATATCAACAATTATCTCTGACGTTCACTAAACGTATAATAATCTACGAACTTCTCGAAAGTTATATCATTTTTTTCTGTAGATTATCAAATATCTGCAAATATCTCTGAACATCTACGCAATTCCCTTAAGTATAAAAAATTGTCTAGAATTTTTTGAGCTTCCTGGAAATTTTAGGAAGTTCTCTGAAGACCTACTAATTTTTCTGATCAGTGAACTTCCCAGAAGTTCTTTAAATTTCACTTAAAACCCAAAAACCTCAATAAAATTCTGCAGATTTTCCAGTAGATAAAGTTCTGTACATTTCTTTGTGGATTCTTGGACTTCCATAAAGTTCTACAGATTTATCTGAAATTCTTTAAAATTTACTAAAGCTCTACAAATTATCTGGAAATATTTGAATTTCTCTGAAGTTGTGGGAATACTTTTAAAGATCGGCGAGCTTTCCAGAAGTTCTTTGAGTTTTGCTGAAGTTTTGCAATTTTTTTTTCTAAAAATGTAAGAACTTCCTGAAGCTCTACAGACTTCTTTTAAGGTTTATGGATTTTTCTGAAATTCTTCAGATCTATCTATTTCCAACTTCCATGGAGTTCTGCAAAATATTGGACTTTCGTACTTCGCTGAGATTTGGTTTTGGAATTGAAGTACTTTTCTGAAACACTGAATCACTGAGTGTCTCAGAAGATCTACAAAATTCCTTGCAGTGCTACAGATTTTTCTAAATTTATACTCTCCTGAAGTTCTGAAAATACCCTTAAAGTTCTGTAAAGTTGTCTGAAGCTCCGTAGTTTTATTCTCAAGATCTACGAATTACCTTGAGGCTCAATACGTTTCTCAGTAGATCTCCACATTTCTCTGAAGCTTTAACAAATTCTTAATAGGCTCGCAGACCTGCTGTCTGGCATGCTTATTATTATATAATACATACTTTGTATTTTATGTCGAAAAATTGTGTTCACAAGGGTAAGTTGACTTGCCTGGATTGGTGGCGCACAGTGTAGCTGAGGGACCAGATTCTCGAACTGCGATTCGGACACACTATCGGCGATTGGCGTGGTCGACTCCGGAAAAATACGTTGAGTTCACAAACGTTACGGTAAAACCGCGAGGTCCTGGCTGTCCAATGATACGTGGCAACTTCCTCTACAACTTCTTCAAACTTCCAACTTAGCTCACTTTAGCACTTTAGCTTTAGTTTTCACCTTCAAACTATTAATTTTTAGCTTTGACTTTCGTTATGTGACCGTAGTCACCAGGCTTATCACTGTGCCTCTTGGTGGACGATGACCCCGAACCGTGACCGTTTAACCGTCGTACGTGAAACGAATTCTCCACGCAATGGCCCCGATTACGCCACCCCTATGGACGTCCATTCATGACTTCACACAGCGTGCTCTGGTGGTGGCTAGTGGCTGCGTTCGTGGGGATTCTGGGACGTTTTACCTTTTACGAACATTTAAACTTTTTCTTGGAATTTAATAACTAAATATACGAAAACTATACGCGATTAATCTCACCAATCTTGGACGCAACACTTACACTTGTTACATTACCTAGTTGACCGACAATTTTCAAACTTATTTCATTCAACTTCAATACCATAACCGTACGTTCGCGCTCCACTCATTAGGTTCTGTACAACATCTGGCAGCAGCTTCTTCTGTACGGAAACTCACTTTTTCTTCATGTCTTCCTCAGATTTGACCACCTTGGGATGCTTCCGTACTGCCTGCTTCATAATAGCCCGGTATTTTTCGATGGGCCTTAGTTCCGGTGCGTTGAGGGGGTTCATGTCCTTGGGTACGAAAGTGACCCCGTTGGCTTCGTACCACTCCAGGACAACATTTGAATGGTGGCACGAAGCTAGATCCGTTCAGAAGACCGTAGGGCCCTCGTGTTGCTTCAACAGAGGAAGCAGACGCTTCTGTATACACTCCTTGAGGTAGACAGTCCCGGTAGTCACGAACGGTGCACTCCGTTTGCCACATGAGCAGATCGCTTGCCAAATCATGTATTTCTTGGCAAACTTTGAAAGTTTCTGCTTCTGCTTCTGCTTCTGCTGGGCGGTGAAGAACAGCAGCCCCGGAAGCTGTCGGAAGACCGCCTTGACGTAAGTCTCAATGAGGCTTCATCAGCATCTGGGTGTACAGTTTCCGAGCCCGTGACTTTCCCACCGTATTTTGCCGTTCGTCACGATTTGGAGCCTTCTGCACTTTGTACTCGTCGTGACCGGACCGAGGTTTCCAGCCTCGGCCACGGCTATACGAACTAGCGATGCAGCCCCCACGGGTGCGGCTGCTTCTATTGCTGCTGCTGCTGCTGCTGCTGCTGTTTCTGCTGCTGCTGTTTCTGTTGCTGCTGTTTCTGATGCTGGTGGTGGTCCTTCACTTCCAAAATTCGTTACAAGAAAAACTTCAACGAACTTAGGTACTTCATATTTATACTTGCTAACGTATCAAAATTCTCTAAGCATACATACGGACTATCACGCTTCACGCTCACTAGATTCTACTCATTATTTATTCAACACTAACTCTATCTACTACATTCTTCCCTTGTTCTACTCTCCTTAATTGAGTAAGGGAGGCATTATATCTACCCATTTGGGGAAATTTCATCTACCCTCTCGGGGGACTTTCATCTACCCTCTCAGAGATATTTCATCCATCAGGTCATAATTGTTTTAAAACTTGCCACACTGACATTTATTTTAAATTTATCATTATCTGTCATCATTATTCATCAAAATTACTATCTATTACAATATGATCATTGTCACCAATTTCAACCGCATACCGTTCTATTCAAGTTTGCGATGAGCTAAAG